AAAAAAAAAAAAGAAGAAGAAGAAGAAAAGAAACCATATATGTATATGTGTTGCAGGCAAAACACTGTGAATATCACAACCACAACCAAGCAACTATTCTGCCATCCTAACACACATCTCAGGTGACAGAATGGGAAAAGAGGAGAATGCTGATTTTCAATCTATGCATTCTAGGCCAGGTCTGTTTGTTTTACTTATTTGGTCTGTGCATTAATACAAATGATCTTGAGTGAAAGTTGGCTGAATATTGAACACATTAGAGAAAGCAAAAAGCTGCTAGTAACCATGTGTTTGAACAGGGAGAGAAATTGGAGAAAATGAAATGTAAAGGCCTCTATATCTTGCAGCTTTTACATCTTACTATTGCTTTTTAAATGTATAAAACAGCTGGAAATGTTTTAAATACAAGGCCTTTGAATTCAATGTGGATTTTAAATATGTAATCCCTTGACAAATTACTAAATCATGGTGAAATATTGCTCCTTGCATCCCTTTGATCCTCACTCTTATTTACAAATCTGCCTAGAGGTGTGGATGCTCTGCATTTGCTTCTGTATCTGGAGAGCTGTTTGTATATATCCAGGCCGTAGACACACTTATTTCAATATCTCTCTGCAGATACATTGCCCCTTCAATGGTGACCTGGTATTTGGAACTCTCTCTCTTTTCATTTGGTTTATTTTCCTTTTAATGTGCTGTCTCTGTGCTGATACTTAACAGTTCTTGTTTTGCAATCTGTTTTGAGGTCGATTGCTTTACTAAGACCCACTGCATCTTGGCTGATTTCAAAGTGACACCTGAATACAGTGTTTAAAAAAAGTTTTGTTTGTATATCATGTGACCAGCTTCTCTCAACCTGACATGGAAAGTCTCTTGTACTACAGTGTATTTAATAAAATGATGTCTTACAATAAATAACATCCTCCTAATGAGAGACTTAAAGTGACATGTTTACTTTTTAAAAATGGTATAGAATTTCCACAAAGCATACTGTGCTCTTGTTTTAAATGCAAGAGCATGTGTGTTTAGATATGGTGGCTGTGGATGCTGCCATGTTCAGTGGTTGAGGGGAATGAGAGTAAGTGGCCTTAGGTACAAGTTCCCTGGCTGATCTTTCCACAGATCTGACACTTTTGACGTATTTAGGATAGCTACAGTGTCCTTATCTATTGCTTTAATTCCTAAATTTAAATCAGTGTTCTATCTCTGTTGTCCAGTGTAGTAACTTCTAGCCACATGTAGCCAGTGTGACTGAACAACTGAATTTGAAACTGCATTTAATTTCAACTAGTTTACATTTCAATAACCACACGTGGCTAGTGTCTACTATGTTGGATGGCACGGAGCGAAGAGACATCTAAGCCTCTAAGACATCAGGCCATAAGACACCTCCCATGAGAAATGTGTACTTTGGCATCTTAGGGCTGGAGAAGCCTTGAGGATGTGGATGACCCAAGGGTACAAGGAACTGGCCAAATTTGTTCCTCAGTGTTTCACACGTTCGGTTCTTGGTGTCTTGCATCTTCTCCTTAACTCTCTGAAAGGCACAGCCTTCCTCGTATATGCTTTGGGAACCTAAGGTTTAACTATAGACCATCCAAACCTCAGGTCCTCAAACAATGCCTTTTGAACACTGTCTCTTTGTGATATAGATGTATCTTCATTGGATTAGAAAAATATATATGACAAGATTAAAGATCAGAAAGAATTTGGGGATTTCAAAGCTGTATAAGGGGCATGAAAATCTATTCAAAATTCCAAATAGGTGTATATGTCCCTGTGAGATCAAGCCATGAACTCCCCTCAAGGAAACTGGACTAAAGGAGAAAAGTTTAATACAGCCCTGGCTAGGCAGAACCCAATTTTGGTTATTAGAGGTCATACCTTTTCCCACACTTCACCATATATTACTACTGTTGGTGCAATTGCAGTGGTTCAATAAAAATTCCAGCCCTGAAGTCAAGTGTTCCAGTTCCTCACTTCTCTGTACAGCCCATCTAGCCTTTCCTCTCTAAAACACTTTTCATGCACCCATAAGGATACCTGATTTCTTAGATAGGAATAATACTTCTGAAATCTTGTTATTAATAACCTTATCAAATCTGACATAGTTTTATAATGCATCACCTAATAAAAAGATTTCTCATTGTGTGCCAGAGTGTTACGTATGTATATTACTTTCCATTAGAGGTTTTAGTCTTTGCTTTGTTGTTTTGGTTCTATGGTAGCATGGTACATCATAGAGCACATGCTGCAGAAGACTTATTCATCTCGTGGCAGCTGGGAAGCAGAGAGAAAGAGAAAAGCCTGGATTCTAATAGCCCCTTCAACAGCATTATCTCAATTACCTAATTTCCTTCCACTTAGCTTCACCTCCTGAAATTTTCATCACCTCACAGTAGTGCCATAGACTGGGGATATAACCCTCAACACATAAGCCTTTGGAGGACATTTCAGATCCAGACAAAAGTGTAGGATAAGTCTCCTTAAGATGTTTATATTATTATGCATTTTGTTACCTAAGGTAATATTTATAGTATTAGGATATGAATGTAACTTCTGAAGGGCTACTATTCACCCCAAAATACTATTTTAATTCATAGAAATCTTACACCTGTCCTAGGAAGCAGGTACTGTTATTGCTATAGCTTATATACAGGAAAGTTGAGCCAATGAAAGATATTTAATTTCCCAAAAAGTTAAGTCAAAAATAAATTAACTGGTAAATATAGTGCTTATGATTTGGCAAAGAGGTTCATATATTAACTCATTTAATCCTCATGTCCTTTAAGATTGAAGAACACAGGGGCCCAGCTCCAGGAAATAGCCAGAAAGGCAGCTACCTGGTTGGCATAAGGAAAGCTTCCAGCTAGGGTTTGAGCTGGCCTAGTGACCGAGGCTTTAGGATCTTGGCTTCAAATCCCTCAAAGACTGGTAGAAAACAATTTAGTGGTCAAGATCTGTAGGAATGAGATTAGCAGCAGGAGCTAAAGTCAAGATTCAATGTTCAAGGAGATCAGACAGTCTCTAGAAAATTGAACTTGAGAGGTGAGGTACAATGAGGGGGACTTTAGTCACTAAAGACACAGTAAGCCTTTGGCCACTGAACTGGTGCCCAAATCAAGCCAAAACTGCCAGGGAGGTCTTTTTGGTACTTTCCCGGGTCTCCAGAGTTCCCAATCCCAGTCTCCTTCTGCCTTGTGGAAAATGAGACTGTAGGTGGAAGGAAGTGTTAGCAATGGAGTTCTGCGGATGGGAGAAAAGGAATTTAGGAAGAGCTCCTGCAATAAGACCTGCACATATTTCACCACTTGTGGAATGTCAAGTTCTTTGGTGACCTCCCATGGTTGGCACTACATAAGGCCAAAAGTCTTCACGTCTGTCTGCCATTTAAAGTGATGTTTTATAATGAAAGCAAGGTTTTCACCAAATTCTTCCAAACAAAGAATATTTATTATCAAGATTATATGTCTGATTATTGGGATCAGGAACTTTTTCTTCCTGATTCAAAAGCAGATGTAATGACATATGCACAGCAGGGCCAGCTAGCTTCTGTTCAGAGCAGGTGACAGGGAAGGGCAATAGAGCTCTGAACTCTGAAAAGTGTCCTCTTGGCTTTAGAAAGCTGGACTGGCCACAACTTGCTGACTGTCACACAAGAATGATGATGTCCATACAATATTTCTAATGATCAGTCTTCAAAATCAGTCACTACAGTCAAAATTAATGTCCTTTATGTTAATTAACAACCCCTGTGGTGTTGATAGCAATATTTTAAATACTCATTAACTACTAAAATTACTTCCCATGTGGGCTTATGTTGCTTCTGTTTACAATATGGGCTAATTTGACTTGTCCACACACATTTGCCAATTTTCAAACAAAGAACATAACAATCTCCTTGAGAACAATTTCACTCTCTCCCCCTATTGTAGATATGGATTTGTAGCTACCAACCTAAGTGTGCAAAATGTCACATCTTCACTTCCTTTCAATGAGGCTATATCTGCTCACATCTTGGAGAAGAAAAACCGATTTTGGCCTTCATCACTACTATGGTTGATACAATGTGGCAACTTGAGAAGTTTAGAAACTTAACTAAGCATCTTAGCAGTTCTACATCCTTGGGTGTAGAAGAGATGCTCTAAGGTGGCTGTTTACATCCTAGGTTGTTGTAATGGTTTACTCATTGTGTCAACTTGAGAAGTTTAGAACTTTAACTAAGTGACTCAGATGGGGGACAGGGTCCTCACTTTGTAAACATCCTGAGCCCATGCAAGAGGATGGCCCTGAGATGGTCTTAGTGCTACACCCACCCTAGGGCAGGTGTCCTGCACTATATAAGGGAAGAAAAGAGGCTTGCTCTCGTCCTTTTGTTCTTGTTGCTTTTGTTGTTTTCTATTGCCTTGAAGTGTTGCTCCTCTGCCATGCCACCCTCCTTGGAGCTAGCTAATTGTGGACTAAAACATCCACAAACTGTGAGCTAAATAAACATTTCCTTCCTTAATTTGGGGCATTGAATATTTTGTCTCTGTAATGAGAGAAAAGTAACTAAAATAACCAGAGTTCCCCTTCCCTTTCCTAGGGCAATTCATAAATTCCAAGATCTATTGAAACCTAGGAAATATGAGTAGCCACAATTGAGAATCCTATGCCTAACGCAGAATGTGCCCTGACATGCCATAGGCAATCCCTACAGTCCACCTCTTCCTGCAGTAATTGGAGGGAATCGGTTCAGTTCTGCTCCAAGAATCCACATGTATCACTAAATCCCTGGATTTTGGGAAATTTCTGTTCTCTAACATTTCCCTTTCCACAGTCAAATTGTCC